CCCTCGCCGCATAATGCTACTGCGAACCCGCTAGGACCGCGAATCGCCCGGCGAACGCGGCACGACCTCGTGGACGCACCAGACCGCCCCGACAAACAGCCCAACCAAACTGACCGACAAAATGCCCACCCGGACCGTCGAACAAAATTTCCGGGGGGTGCATCCTAACTGTGAATTTACACTGAATCCGCTCGGCAGCGACAGCCAGGAACGAATTTGTCGCGACACTTTCCTGGGTCGGTCCGATTTTTTTGTCGCGCCGCCTCTTTTTTTTTGTCGGCCCATTTTGTCGGGCCGATTTTTTTTTGTCGTGTGTGTTTTTTGTCGGGGAGGTTTGGTTTTTTGTCGGCCGATTCTGTCGGGGCAATCGTTTTCTTTTGTCGGCTGGGCGCCGCCCGCAATGCATAGATGCAGGGAGGCAGACGGGTCATGTGGCAGCAAGGGCGCACGCGCAAAACGCAGAAGGATAACAAGAAGGAACGCGAACCAGGGCAAGGCAAGAACAACACGGAGGGGGCGAGGGGGGCGGCAAGAGCAGATGATGACGAACGGGAAAAGACATTTGCTCGTGGAGTACGTGTCCCGACGGACCACTCACAGGGGGCGCCGAAGTGATCGCGGCACCTTTGGCCTCCAATCTGTAACCTCGATGCCAGCAGCACAGGCGTACGCAGGATGCTCTGTGGGCACAGTGCTCATGAAGTCCGCCCCGCGCGCGACGCAGGAAACAGGCGACGCAACTCAACTCCCTTGCGCCTGAAATCGGGCGGCCGCGCACGTCAAGAAACTCAAGGAGCCCCCGCGGTCGCCCCAAGGGGCCCCGCAAAGGCCTGTCAGGACCAGGACAAAAATAGGCCTGGCGAAATAACCAACCACATGCTGCTGCGGGTACCATATGGGGCCACGATTGCGCGGGGAACGCGCCAAGATGAGGCGGCGCCGCCATGTCGACCACGCCAATGGGGCTTCCAGTGGTACTCCACGCGGGGCCACGAACCGAGTGAAGGGTGCGCCCCAATGGGGCGCAGCCGCCATGTAGACCCTGCCACTGGGGCCTTCGAGTGAGCCCCATGCGGGGCCACGAGCCGTGCGAGGGGTGCGCCCGCATGGGCGGTACCGCCATGGGGCCATGCCACTGGGGCCTTCGGTGGACCTCCATTTGAGACAACGAAACGTGTGAGGGGTACGCCCAAATGAGGCGGCGCAGCCACGTGGACCTTGATCCAGCATGGATCCTGGCACGTCGGCGGGCCTGGCGAAAGCATAAATGTATCCAAGAATTTAGGGTCTTGTCCGAGCCCATCGATATCCTCCTGCGTGAATGCATAATCTTCATCGCCACCCAGACTTATTCATGGTGAGACTCACGCACGCCCCGTTCGTGGCCGTTTTGCGGGGGTGCCTCAAGCGGTTTGCCTGTCTTCTGTCCCAACATCCTTGGCTACCAGAGCAGACTGTGAGGATGTCTCAGGCGGGACGCTGGTTTCAGCCCCCCCTGACGGAAACCACCACGTGTTATTTCACTGTCCCATTCGCGGCCGTTTTGTGGAGATGTCTCAAGCGGTTTGCCTGTTTCCTGTCCCAACATCCTTCGCTGTCGGAGCAGATTTGGAGGATGTCTCAAGCGAGGCGCTCATTCTCACCCCCCATAGGGGGAACCGCCAGGGCTTATCTCACGGTCCCGTTCGGGGCCGTGTTGTTGGGATGTCTCAAGCGGTGTCCCTGTTATCTGTTCCAACAGCCTTCGCTTTCGGAACAGATTTGGAGGATGTCTCGAGCGTGGAATGGGAAGTGCGCGCGAATGAGGGGGGGAAGGGGCAATGCGGCGAGGAGGAGGAGGATGAGGCGGAAGGCGTGGATGACACGGGGAAAGGGAGGGGAGGGATAACGAGGGCGGTTGAGGGGGGCGAGGGAGTGGGAGAACACCAGGACGACGAAGGCGAAGGAGGATGAGAAGGAGGAGGAGGATAACAGGAGAAAAGGGGGGTAACGTGAGGAGGCAGGGGATTAATATGATGGCGAAGTGGGGTGACGGGGGGTAGAAGATAACAAAGAGGAGGGGTCATGCCGCATTCAATTTCCTCTGGCCCTTTCCGGCCGTTTTGCTGCGATTTGGGCGGTTCTTCGGGTGGTGCCGAGCGCTCTAATACCCAGAAGGGCGAGAGCGTGACGTTCCTTTTCTTTTTCTTGTGTCTGATCAGTTTGATGGCGCCCGAAAAGCATCCTCGCTGACAGCGCGCGGTATTTTTTGGGAGCTCTTGGATTGTCCTCGGGTTGGTGTGAATCATTTTGGGCCGCATGGGCCGTCGCATCGTGATTGTCTCTATGAAAAATGATCACCTTCAGCGGTGTCGGCCGTCGTTGGGGGCAGTGTGCGCCGCCATGGCAGTTCGCATCAATGCAGAGGACGTTTGAATGACATAGGGCCGATGGGGGGGGGGGGACGGCATATTTGGGAGCAGTTGCGACGATTGGTATGGCCGGGCCGCCCTCATTCTAAATATGCGACGTGCTCGTTTTCTTTGTTTCTTCCAGGGCGTGCTGTCAGCAGGGGGAACGCCGCGCGCCTGGATGCCCCGATGGGAGCTCACGGATTGGATTTTACAGTGCGACGGTGGCCCCAGTCCGTTATCACCGCGTGATGTTCGCCCCGCGCGGATGGCGTTGCATGTCAGACGGGTAATCCCCATCGAGGGTTTGGTGCAGTTTGCATGTTCGCCATATCCTAAGATGGTTTTTTGTTATTACGTGGACGCCTCCTACTCCTTCTCACTCTTCTCCTGCCCTCTCCTCCTCATGCCCCGACTTACTCATATACAGACTGACTCACACTCAGACTAACTCAGACACATATTCACACACAAATACCTACTCATACTCATACCTACTCATACTCAGACCTGCTCCGACTCAGACTTACTCATGCTGAGACTCACGCGCGCCCCGTTCGCGGTCGTTTCGTGGGGATGCCTCAAGCGGTTTGCTTGTTTTCTGTCCCAGCATATTTCGCTATCGGAGCTGATTTAGAGGATGTCTCGAGCGAGGCGCTAATTTTCACCCCCCTTAGGGGAGCAACCAATGGTTATCTCACGGCCCCCTTCGCGGCCGTTTTGTGGGGATGTCTCCAGCGGCTTGCCTGTTTTCTGTTTCAACATCCTTCGCTTTCGGAGCAGATTTGGAGGATGTCTAGAGCGAGGCGTTCATTTTCACGTCCCTAAGGAGCCGCCGAGGGGTTATCTCACGGTCCCGTTCGCGGCCGTTTTGTGGGGATGTCTCAAGCGGGTTTGCCTGTTAGTTGTGCCGACATCATTCGCTTCCGGAGCAGATTTGGAGGATGTCTCGAGCGAGGCGCTCATTGTCACCCCCCTAAGGGGATTCAAATATTCACTGCGTGGGGCTCCCCATATGCGCATTTATTCCCATGGACCTGTCCGCCGTGAGAATCTAGGCGCAAAAACTTTCGAGTATAAACGGGTTTCAGTTGTGACGGTCTGGTCATGAATCTAACTGAGAATCAATTGGAGTGTGAATGAGCCTCAGTAGTACGAGCGCGTCTCTGCGCATGTCCCTGGGTCCTCCTGGGGCCTCCTGGGGCCTCCTGGGGACCTACTGGGGCTTCTTGGGGCCTCCAGGAGCCTCTTTGGGCCCCCTGGGGCCTCCTGGGACCTCCTAGGGAGGATTCGTGCCCGAGGAGAGGCCCAATCTATAGCAACAGTCGTACATAAAACATTGCGACTTGGAGCCGCAGAAAAAAAAGGGACAATCTATAGGAACACGCGTACAACACCAAGGAGTCGTGCCCTAGGAGAGGCCCTATAGGAACATAAGTACACAGGATATGGACAATCTATAGAAACATACGTATAACATCAAGGATTCGTGCCCCAGGTGAGGCCCAATATATGAGAGCATACGTAAAACACATGGGATTGGAACCACCCCTGTTGCCTTCTGAGGCCTCCTGCTCCTGGGGCCTCTCGGGGCCTCCTGTTGCCCTCCGGAGACCTCCTGGCGCTTCCTCTGGCCTCCTGGGGCCTCCTGTGGCTTCCTGAAGCCTCCAGGAGCTTCCTGGGGCCTCCTAGAGCCTCTTGGGGCATCCTGTGGCCTCTTGGGTCTTTCTGTGGCATCCTGATTCATCCTGGGACCTCATGTGGTCTCCACGGGCCTCCTGGAACCTGTTGGAGCCTCCTGTGGCATCCCCAGGAAAACCAGCGCCCACGAGTCTGGCCACCGATCGAGACATCCTCAAAATCTGGCCCACCTGGGGGGGTGAAGTGGAGCGCCTCGCTCGAGACATCCTCCAAATCTACTCCGAGAGCGAAGGATGCTGGGACAGAAAACAAGCACACCGCTTGAGACATCCCCACAAAACGGCTGCGAACGGGACCGTGAGAGAACCATTGGCGGCTCCCCTTAAGGTGGTGAATATGAGCGCCCCCCGCCAGTCCTCCTGCCAAGGGAACCTGGCTGTGGTTTTCGGCGACGCACCAGCGCCCTTGGCTAACAGCGTTGCAACGCACGCGCTGCATTACGCGGAAGTAGTAAGATGATATGTTTCTGACCTGATGCGTGGGCGCGCACGGCGCGGGCCTACATGGCGCGTCGAAGGCGCCTGACACACGCCCGCGATACTATTCACGACCGAAATCGGAAAATTAGCTCCGGCGGCGCACATGCGGTGGGACACGCGTGCGTTCGGCATCACCCGCGCGAGGTGGCTAACAATTTCGCGGCGTTGCGCTAAAAATGCCATTGTGCCCAACATCGTTTCGAAGCGCGCTGCGGTGCGCCGCGCAAGCGCGCGTGGACTGCGGCCTGCGTGCGGCCCGCGCACTAGTACGAGCGATTGAATCTGAAAGGGCCAGGCGCGGCACGTGCGCCATGAAAACGCGGCACACGGCAAAAGCAGTTACGAGAAGGAAACTCGCGCGATTCGCGTGCCTCCGTCGACCGAAATCGCTAAATCAGGGCAAGCGATCGGCGACGACCGCGTTTGACGCCACCAATAAATACATGAAAAAATGCAAAAACAAATTTGTCGAGGCCCTCGTTTTGTTTCCTGGTGGGCGCAACACCTGAGCATTGCCCTTGTCCACCATCAGCCCAAGCTGCATCGTAGTGGAACCGGCGGGGCCGACGGCGCCGCGGGCCACGACCAGGCTGGCCATCAACAAGAAACGCGCCATCTGCGAATCAGGGGAGCCAATCAGGTGTTGTAAGATGTCCGCCGCCGTGCCTGCACGGCAGTGGCGTGTTAGAATGCCTGTGAGCTGTCTGGTAGGGCTTATGCAGTGCAGGGCCCCCCTCTCATCGCAGACTGTCGCGTGTGTCCCCCCTCCCCAGGGCCCCTGGACGCCACTAGGCCCCTTCCCCCGAGCCCACGGGCCCGTGGCACGGCGGCGGAATTACCAGAGGCAGCTGGATGAGATGTTCTTAGAGACGCGAAGTCTCAGAGTGTATCTGTGTCGGGCCCAAGTAGAGCCAAACGGTCTGCAGGAGAGGACGAAGAGGTCAAGGAGAACGAAGAGGACAAAGAAGACATGGAGTACGAGGACCAGGTTATGTGGAGAATCAGGGATGGGGAGGGGAAGCAGCATCATCGCCACCGCTTGCAGAATGGATGATCTGCTGTTTTGTGGGAAGCGTCTGTGCGGGATGCTCCGCGAAAACGCTCAAAACATGATCGACCCACAGACCCGGAAAGGCAAACACGGGCAAATAGAATGCTCAAGGTAACCATGGTGATGTACCTTGCCACGGGCTGTGCTGTGCCATGCCGAGCTGTGCTGCGTTGAAACGTGTCATGCCGCGTCGCACTGTGCTGCGCACTATTGCATTGTGGATCAAGCCGTCATTGGCGTCAGAATCCTGACCGAACTGATTTGGATCGCAAGCTCGAACTGCCTGAACGCATAGCTCGAGCTGCTTGCCGTCGAAGCGCGCGGGGCGCTCAACTAGCTCGGGCTGTAGACCCGATTCAGTTCCGGAGCGGGACTGGTCAACGGGGAGCGGCTCCGAATTAGCACGAATTAACGACGACGAGCCCCACGCTCGACACCTCCTCAAACAAGGCAAAACCAACGTTTCGCGAGAGACATCCTCAACACATTCTGCAGAAGGAGCCTTTCGCTGCAGGCGGGGAACCTCGCTCAAGACATCCGCAACAGATCCTGTAGAAAGAGCGTTTCGCTCGAAACATCCTCAACACATGCTCATGTCAGTAATCCGCCAGGTGACCTGGACACGTGAAGACCAGCGTCTCGCTCGAAGCATCCTCAACATGACCTCATGTCAGAGATCCGCCCTGGCGACGTGGAACAAGCGTGAGAACACGTGGGCCCCTTCGCTCCAGAGCGGAACAGGCGTGAAGACACGCGGTCCCCTTTCTCGCCAGAGCGGAACAAGCGTGAAGACACGCGGTCCCTTTCGCCCAGAGCGGGACAAGCGTGAAGACACGTGGGTCCCTTCCGCCCCAGAGCGGAACAAGCAAGCGTGAACTCACGTGGGTCCCTTCCGCACCAGAGCGGAGCAAGCGTGAAAGCACGTGGGTCCCTTTCGCCCTCGAGCGGAACAAGCGTGAAAACACGAGGGTCCCCTCCGCCTCCTCCTCTTCCTCCCTATCCTGACTCCCCCAAAGTTTCCAAAGCGGCTGGGGGAGCACATAGTCCGATAGCTTGGCCAAGCTGGGGTTCGACGTTTGGCCACAGAGGCGCTTCCCAAAAAGGCAGGGGGCGGTGGTGATTCGCCGTAGGCGTCTTCGATCCGCCGCCCCCTGTTGACTCATCACAGGGGTGCCTGGCGTGCTGAACCCTCTCGGTTTGGGTTAAAAGAACTCCCCATGGGGCTTCGGCCCGTCCCGCCGGCCACCCGGAAAGGAGCTCAATTGCACGATGTTTCTTCCAAGACGGCTCAAGATGGCCTCCATGATGGCCACGTTGGCCCAAGATGGCCCCCAAGATGGCCTCCGATAGCCTCCAAAACGGCTCAAGAGAGGAGGAGATGCCCCCAAGTCCGCCCAAGAAACCTCCTCCAAGACAGCCCAAGACGGCCCAAGAGGTGCCCAAGAGGCCTCCAAGACGGCCCAAGAGGCCTCCAAGAGGTCCTCCAGGAGGGCCCGAAGAGGCCAAAATTCTTAATTGTCCATAGGTGTTTACAGGTTTTTCGTGTTTGCTCCTTTTCGGCTTTCCGACGACCCAAGACGGCTCAAGAGGCCCCCAAGATCGCCCCCAGAGCGCCCAAGAGGCCTCCAAGATGGCCTCAGGACTGCCCAAGAGGCCAACAAAACAGCCCCAACAGGGCACAAAGACCACCCAAGAGGCCTCCAAGACGCCCAAGATGGCCTCTAAGACGGCCCTGGAGCACCCCAAGAAGGCCCCAAGTCGGCCCAAAGAGGCCCCCCAAACGGCTTCCGACGGCGTCAGACGGGCCAGGAGCCCACCAAGATGGCCGAAGTTGGCTCGAAGCTGGCCCAAGACGGCCCAGGAGGCCTCCAAGAGGGCCTCCAGGAAGGCCAGAAAAGGACAAAAACAATGATTGTTCATAAGGTGTTTGAAGGATTCTGACAGTTGCTTCTTTTCGGCCTTCCGACGGCCCGAGACGGCCCAAGAGCCCCCAAACATCGCCCCCAGAGCGCCCAAGAGGCCTCCAAGTTGGCCCCAGAACGGCCCAAGAGGCCCCCAAGACGGCCCCAAGAGGCCCCCAAGACGGCCCAGGATGCTTTTAAGACGCCCAAGATGGCCTCCAAGACGGCCCTGAAGCATTCCAAGAGGGCCCCAAGTCGGCCCAGAGGGGCCCCCCCAAACGGCTTCCGACGGCGTCGGACGGGCCAGGAGCCCACCAAAACGGCCGAAAATTGCCCTAAGATGGCCCAAGACGGCCCAACCTCCAAGAGGGCTTCCAGGAAGACCCAAAAAGGCCAAAAACACGGATGTTCCTTCGGTGTTTGAAGGATGTTGGCATTTGCTTTGAGACGGCCCAAGTGCCCCCAAAGATCGCCCAAGGGGACCCAAGACGGCCCAGAGAGGCCCCAAGACGGCCCAAGAGGCCTCCAAGGCGCTCAAGATGGCCTCCAAGACGGCCCAAGAGCCCTCCAAGACGTCCTCGAAGAAGGCCCGAAAGGGTCAAAATGGCCTCCACGTGGCCAAAATGACCTTCAATATGCCCACGTCTCGGGGAACACATGGTCCGATAGCTGGGCAGGTCTGGCCTCAACGTTCGGCCACAGAGGCGCTTCCAAAAAGGCAGGGGGCGGTGATTCGCCGCAGGCGTCTTCGATCCGCCGCCCCCTGTTGATTCATCGAAGGGGCGCCTGGCGTGCTAGCCCCTTTCGGTTTGGGTTTTAGTTCTTTTTCAAAAAGAACTCCCCATGGGGTTTCGGCCCGTCCCGCCGGCCACTGCCCAGAGCCCAAATCCCAAAAAAATCCTGCATGGTCCAAGATGGCCGCCAAGTCCGCCCACGAGAAAAAAAAAAAAATGCCTCCAAGTCCGCCCGAGAAACCTCCCAAGCGGCCCAAGACGGCCCAAGAGGTGCCCAAGAGGCCTCCAAGACGGCCCAAGAGGCCTCCGAGAGGTCCTCCAGGAGGGCCCGAAAATCAGCCTGACGAAAAATCCAACCATATGCAACCGTGAGCACCGCAATTGTGATTCACTGTTTCTGTGGTGATCCCTATGAGGCAACGAACCGTGCTAGGGCTGTGCCGAAATGAGTGGCGTGGTACACAACGCGAACGAAAACGATTGATCTGAGTACGTGGGGAGACTGGGCGCGGGCGAATCTGAGCGCGAGTGCGCCTGACTGTGAATGAATCTGCGTGCGAGCGAGTCTACGTGCATGAATGCGAATATGACAAAGCATGGTGTAATTTATACTAATGTCAGTAGTTTAAAAATGACTGCCTCTGAATACTCGTGACGCTGGGCGTGGCCGCCGCAAGGAGCTTCCCCGGGACTCCCCGACGGCATCGCCCGCACGCCGCGACGCCAATGTCGGCGCGCCCCCCCGCGAGGATCGCGCCCGCTTCCTGCCCTTTTTTTACTCCCCCTTTGCCCGCGCACTCAAAAAATCCGCCGACCCCTTGCGGGTCTCGAACCGTGTGAGATTGTTCCCCCCCCATAACCCCCCCTCTGGGGACTTCGAACCAGAGATTTGACCCCCCCCCGGACCCCCCCCCTGGCCCGGCGCGAGCGACTCACGGGGCTCTTCCGGGCCCAAGAGGGCCCAAAGGCGGGCCAGGAAGGCCCCAAGAGGCCTCCAAGACGGCCCACGAGGGCCCCAAGACGCCAAACAAACGCTCAAAGACGCCCACGATGGCTCCAAGACGGGCCAAGAGGCCTCGAAGATGCCCCAAGAAGAAGGGGGGCTGAGAAGCCAAAATCATTGATTTTCAACTGTTTCCAATGATTTTGGGGCTTTCGAGCTTTCCGCTTCCCGGCGCCCCAAGACGACCCCAGAGGCCCCGAAGACAGCCCCAAGACGGCCCAAGAGGCCTCCAAGATGGCCCCAGGACGGCCCAAGAGGGCCCCAAGACCGCCCAAGAGGCGCCCAAGACGGCCCAAGAGGGCCCCAAGACGGGCCCAAGAGGGCGCCAAAAGGAGAAAAAAAAAAACTCATTTCGAGCCCTCGGCCCCCAGACGCCACCAGGAAGCCCAAAGAGGCCCCCCAAGAGGCCCCCAAGAGGCCCCAAGCATGCCCCAAGAGGCCCAAAACAGGCCCGAAGAGGCCCCAAAACTGCCTCCAAAGGGTCTCCAAAGTGTGAGCGGTACCACTTGAGGCATACGGACGACGCACCTCGCGTGGTACTTGGTTGGTACCACTTGAAGTCTCCGAGAAACCGACCACGAGATCCCAAAGAACACTCCAGAGGCCTCTGACTCACAACCCAGGCACGGTGGCGGGATTGGCGGGACGGGCCTCAGGCCATTCGAGAAAAATCCCTCTCAGGATCCACGACAAGATCCTCACTTGTCCTCGTCGTTTTTTTCCTCCTCCCCCTCCTCCTCCTCCTCCTCCTTCTCCTCCTCCTCCTTCTCCTCCCCCGTCGTCTCCCCCTCCTGCTTTGTTCCTCCCTACTGTCCACAGCATTCGCGCGCTGCCAGACGCGCTGCAGCGCCTTCGTGGAAGCCCCCCAGAAGCTCCGAATCGGCCCCCAAGTGGCTTCACACTGCATTCCAGGGGCCCCCGAGAGGCGTGCCGCGAGATCCCTATACACATACTTGAAGCCTCTAACCCATAACCCA